TCTTCTAACTGATTAAAGATTTAACTGAATCTTAGGTTTGCTTAATACATCCTCATCAGTGGTGTGACCCTTTGATCTTTTACTTATAAATTCTGTGTCTGATACCACCTCTCTCACTAACACCTGAAGAAGGAATGGGGCTCTGAAAGCTTGTGTTTTCAAATAAACCTGTTGAACCTGATGTCGTGTGATTTCTGACCTTGTCCACCCCAGTCCAACACCGACACCTCCACAACAGAACCAAAGACATGAGGCTTAGAGAATGTCAGCTGTGTGCGAGCAAGCAGTACCTGAACAGAACAACCAGGGTCCGTAGAGCCTTCGAGCAGTGTATTCCAAGTGCTATCAGCCAGTGAGTGAAAGGCAGTATCAGAGTGACTGGAGACACCATTGCCTACATCTGCCACCTTCTGCAAGCAGGTCTGTGGCCATCTGACTTGGGAGACATTGCTCTGCCTGTGACACTGATGATCAAAGCAGCTTTGAAATTAAATCCATCAGCTGCTTTCAAACCTCAACTGGGCATGAAAGAGCTATCAATTGGACAATCATAAGGGCACTCATGATTTCACCGATGCCCTTTAGAGGAAAGCAATAGGTTCACTCTGGACTCAGTGAATCAAAGTAGCTGATCCATCCGATTTACAGCCATCACTGCATTCACTCAGGTGCAAGAGGCTATTTATTGTAAGTACGTGTCATTCAGATTTCTATGATATTATCCAGGCAAATCCCTGAACTGGAAGCTTCACTCCCTCAGTGAATCGCTCAGTTGTGACCACGCAGCAACTCCTGCCTGTGTTTACTATCACAATGTTTCTTTCTGGCTAGATTCCAGGCCCTTGAATGTTCATTTACCCGCTTCATCTCCAGGCCTGACTTGTGGATGGAGGAATACTATCCCAAAGGGCAAAGCTAATGAACCCAGTTTGAAACCCTCACAATGATGCCTAACAACACTACGTTATAGCCCATAAATCTGCTGGGCCCCTCTTTAGATAGACAATTGGTCTTTTGAAGGTACACTTCCATTTCCTGGCCCACGTATGAATTGTATTCCTGGCAGGGTCTCCAGAATAGTAGTCATTTCCTGTGCCCTGCATAACTTAACTCAACATCATTGTCAGACACCTCCTCTATTGGTTGTTTAATCGTCCAACACCATTCATGACTGGATAGGACAGAGCTGCAGAGTTCAGATCTGATCTGTTGGCTATGGGATTAATTAGCCCAGTTTGACACACAAGTGGTCCAGTGTTGTTTCAGTTTCGTAGAGCATCTTGTTAAGAAGATCAACGAAACATGGAATATCATGCAACCCTAAATATTTGTGGGGAGTTTAGAAAAACTGAAATAATTACATTAATAAAACACTTTTTGAAGCCTAGGCACTGGTAGAGACAGCTTGTACACAGAAAATATCCTCAAACATGAATGTGATACTGACATTGTAGGAACTGCCGATGCTGGAGAATCAGAGGTAACAAGGTGTAGAGCTGGATGAACACAGCAGGCCAAGCATGATCAGAGGAGCAGGAAGGCTGCCGTTTCGGGTCTGGACCCTTCTTCAGAAAAGCCCCATTTCTGAAGAAGAGTCCAGACCCAAAATGTCAGCTTTCCTGCTCCTCTGATGCTGCTTGGCCTGCTGCGTTCGTCCAGCTCTACACCTTGTTATCTCTCTATATGTGATACTGACCACATTTCTATATTTCTGATCTTGATTGAGAGATAACGTTTGATCCATAGCATTGAGGATAACTCCGCTACTCCTCCTCAGGAATTTTACATCCACCCATGCCAAGACATGGGCCTTGGTTTATTATCTCATCCAAAAAGACATTCCTTCAGTGACACTGTACTCACTCACTGCTAATAGATATTTTTTGTTCTCAAGTCATGGAGTGTGATTTGAGCCTCGAACCATGAAAGATGAATTCATGTTTGTGGCTTAAATCTAATAATTTCCTGACTTCCAAGCGCAAGATTTTTAGAGGCTAATAGTGGTGCACAACAAATGGTAATTTGGGTGGCATAGTGGCACAATGGCCAGCACTGCCGCCTCAGTGCTATGAACCTAGGTTTGATTCTAAAGTCAGGCTACTGTCTGTGTGAAGTTTGCATGTTCTCCCCATGTTCTACAGGGGTTTCCTCCAACAATCTAGAGATGTGCAGGTTAGGTAGTTTGGCCATGCTGTATTGCCCATAATATCCTGGCGAGGTAAATTAACCATGGGAAATGCGGGGTTACAAAAATAGGATGGGAGGATCTGGGTGGGATGTTCTTCGGAGGGTTGGTGCAGACGTGGTGGGCCGAATGGCTTTTGCCTGCCCAGCAGGGATTCTATGATTCTATAATTTACGGCAATACACAATGAATGGCGTAACTCTTCCTCGTGATGCATTTCTGTGTTTTTGATGAATTAATAATGTCTGGCGTTGTGAACATACTATCATTGTTCTGGAAATTTCGAGATCGATTCTTAAAGTAACTTAAAAATTACCAGGCCTTTTAAATAACTGAATTCCTGGATGCAGTCGTAGAATCATAGAATCCCTACAGTGTAGAAACAGACCATTCGGCTCATTGAGTCCATACCAACCCTTCAAACAGCATCCCACCCTGACCCACCCGATCCATGAAACCCTACATTTCCCATGGCTAATCCACTTAACCTGCACACCTGAACACTACGGGCAATTTAGCATGGTCAGTCCACATAACCTGTGCATTTTTGGACTGTCAGTGCTAAAATGTGAACAAAGTTTTATTCTTCTGTCTGTCTTCTGCTCCAAGTTTCTTCAAGTTGTGTTTCTACCCTAGCTAGAGACAGTCTAAAGTTGATTCCTGAATCCTCCCAATTCCACATGCCAGCGATTGCTAATGTGATTTACCATGTTTACTGTTTCATTAATTGTGGGTTCCTCGGCAGGTACTGTCCTCCGCACCCTTTCTTAATGAAATTATTTAATGAAAATAATGAAGCCACTGCAACATGTTAAGTGTGAATGTCTCTTAAAAAGAAAGTCTTGACATAACCAATTTTCTCAAGTTAATGTGGTAAACAAAAAACTCTGTTTGGGCAGAGAGATCATCAGGATCAAATTTCTTTTTTCCCAAAGTATGTGCATTGTGTGTTTTTGACCCTATATCAGCTGCATTTTAACTTAGCAGCATACCCAGACCAATGCTGAAATGTTACAGATGTTGTTCATCTGTTGCACATTGAGTGTGACCATTAGTGTCTCTTTTGAGAAATGTATTCCTGCTAAAACGTTATGACTGTGCATAAGGAGAGAGCAACAACATATTTTGTACTTCTAATATAATAAAGCATACCAAAACTTCACAGGACCATGATAAAAGAAAGCAGAACACTGAACCATACATAAGGAGACATGAGGCCAAATGACCTAAAGCATTGGTCAGAGAGAGAGGTTTTCAAGGAATGTGTGTTGAAGGCAGAAACCAAAGTAGGGGAGGGTATTCCAGAGGTTAAGACCTAAGCAACTGAAGTCACAACCACCATTGATTGAAAGGTTAAAACTGGGATGCACAAGAATTATTACAGTGCAGGAGGTGGACGTTCAGTTCATCATGTCATCACCAGAGGTCAGAATTAGAGGAGCACAGATTCCTTGGAGAGTTGTGGAGCTGGAGGAGATTTTATGTAAAGTGGTGATCTTCACAACAAGCTCCAGTTCTGTCAAGTTACTTGTGGATTTAAAGTCAACACACACCCTAAGATTTCATTTTAGCTTCTTTTTAATTTTATCAAATTTGGCACGTAATACCCCATTCTGCTTGGTGCGCAGAGACCTTTGCTGACAGTTCAGACATTTAATGCACACCTCCTCAAGACACCATATATTTTTACCTTTCCCCTTATGACTCCCTTTGACCCTGCATCACCCACACTTTCATCGTTTAATCTCTCCTACCTTTTCGCAAACTTCTCATTTTGTCCTTATCCACACTATTCTCCCCCCAGCATCCCCCCACCACTATTACCCTAATCCACCCCTTCACAAAATTAGAACCAAGTACACTTCCAGCCTTTTCCAGTTCTGATGAAAGAGCCCTTGATTTTAAATGCTAATGCTCTTTCTCTGTCCACAGTGTTCTGAAGCTGTAGTGTTTTTTCAGGATTTTCTTTTTTTTGTTTCAGATTTCTATCCTCTTTGGTACAAGTGTTCAGAAAGTGTTCGTCGAATTTCTCGTCTATGTTCTTAGATGCAGCCATGAAGAAAGGGCGGGGGAGACTGTCTGTCTTTTTTAACATTAAAATCACCATTGATTCATCTGTAATGTTGTCCTAATAATGTTGTATACCATGCAGTTTGAAATTACAAGTGGTGTGAGACTGTCTCTTTTCAGAGGTCTTGTACCACCAAAATCACATTGGGCCTTGATTCTAAATTTGCATGTTAATCTTTAGATCACGCAGAAATGGAAATTGCTTTGTTTTACGTAAAATTACAATGTAAGTGGACCCTTAAAACACTTTAGGAACAGATTTACAGTGATGTTATTGTGGTTTCAACAGAAATGCAAGCTTTAATAATGATGTCTCTTCTGAATCAAGTTAATGGTAATCAAGCCCTTTCTGACAAATTTTTCAAGGTATTCTGAAGATAAATCTCCTCTTTAACCATAACCTGTTTCTTCAGCTCCATTTGATGTATCTGCTGTGAAACAATAAACCTTTGAGGAAAGCTAATACACTGGTGGTATTAGTTTTGAAATGCAGAAGGTTATGGGTGGATTATGGGTAAAGTACCCAGCCCCAACTGGATAGATGTCTGTGCTTCTTCGTGGCATCAGCCTCAAATTCAGTGAGAGACTGCAAATGCACAGTTTTGAAATGTATTTGTGCTAACCCATTACACAACATACCTTAGAACATGTTGCCTTCAGATATGTAACACACCAATATTTACGTGCCTTACACTTGTTTTGATCGAACTGTTTGACAATAATTAATTATTTCTGTCTTTTCCAGATGTAATAATCGTACTCAATGCTCAGTTGTAGCTGGACCCGATGTGTTTCCAGACCCTTGCCCAGGAACATACAAGTATCTTGAAGTTCAGTATGAATGTGTTCCATACAGTAAGTGTGCTCCAATACATAATACTTTCTGTAATTGCACAGTCTGCTAATCTTTTCTCTCAAGCGTTACGACAAGTCGTTCATTAAAATGTTCATTATCTTGGAAACTATTTTGAAGTAAAGCATGGACAACAAAACTACATCATGTAGTGCAATGGCACTACTGATTGAGGCACACACATTGGTGAATTGCTGCCATTTTTCTTAAAACTGTCAGTGCTTAAAAGAAGGATGGAATGTACTTCAAATACATATCTGAGTGAAGTTCATCTTTTTTTAAAAGAAAATTGTTCTGGTCATATAAATTGTTCATCCATTGTTTTGCGCCATAACTGTAACTCAGTCAAATTTTAGAGCTCAGAAGCAGTAACTCATGTTGTGGACTCTAAGATACCATATTAAAAGAAATGCAAATCTGACCAATGCATCAAATTTGCTATGTGGATGAGCAAGCCTGCAAGCAACCGTATCCACTGAGAGATAAAAGGTATGTGTTGTTGTCTGGGAAAAATTTAAATTAAAATTAACAAGAAAGTAGTGACAAATAATGTTCCAAGTGCCTTTTCAGTGAGTATAAATGCTTCTGTGATTCAGTCACCCCTAAATTGGTTTTACAGCAACTCAAAATTCCTTTTTGTTCCATTCCATCGCTAGGAGTTACAATTTTCCAAGTATTCTTGTCCGATTTTAAAATCCAAATTGTGCTTGCATTTCATTATTTTTGCGAAATCAATTCAGATTCGGTGCAGTAGTGATGTGATCAGCCACCTCCTGTTGTGATGGTCAAATTCCTGACATGTTTGCTAGTAGAACATACTGAGTGGGAATCCTGATGCAGGAATGGAAGATGTGACAGTAATTAGCTTAACATGGCCATCTAGATGAATAATTCAGATATCAAAAGAAAACTGTTTGTTGTCTCAATTTGGCGCCCTTGAGAAACAATTCATGGTTCCATAGAAGGGAACATATTGCAACTGTTCTAAGATTTTGAATTGATAATTTAATGCATTGTGACGGATGGAATTGATTTAACAATGAAGGGGATCTGTGATGGAGTTATCTAATACATTGTGACTTCCAGGAGGTGATTTATTAATATTTTATATGACATGTAAGGGAAAATGGAACATTACGTAACATATCTGAGGATGTATCATGTCATGTACCTTGGACAAGAAAATGTTACCAATCCATCACAGACCTGTCCTAGTTTTATTCTGTTGGAAATTGTGTCCAACTCCCATCCTCTTAGCTCAAGAAGACTTGCGGTATAATCAGGTGCTTTCTGCTGAGAATTCCTCTCAATCTAATCCCTCATCGTCAGTCTAACAAAGCTTGTTACGAGTGGTGCTTATATTGCTAGTTATCCCATTAGTGAAAGGAATAATGCCTGGTCATATAACCTTCTCATTTTCAAAGATCTGCCCAACACGTTGAAAGAAAGTACACTTGGTTCGGTCTTCATTACCAGCTCCGCCTTGCCCAGTGACATTGCGCACCAACATATAATTACGTCCATCTTGACCTCCTACTTTCTCATTTGGCTGCCTGAGCACTTGTCTGCCCCATCAGAACACTAGAACTGACTCTGCAGACTCAAAACTTTCTTGCATTCTCCCAATGGTTGTAATGGTGTGACTGGATTTCTCAAAGCTTGATGGTGACGTGTCACAGCTTAAAATAACTTTAAGGAACAGAGCCTCTCCCGATGACGTCGCCATTCAAAGCAAATTTTACTGATATATCAGGAAATGAACAAGGACAATGAATTTAAAACAGAAAAGACTGGAGAAACTTGTCAGGTCTGATAGCATCAGGGAAGAGAGAAACAGAGTTAATGATTCAAGTCAAAATGATCCTTCTTTGGAACTGAAAGGGGCTCGAAACGTGGTGGGTTTTATGCTGTTGAGGAAGGGGAGGGGAGGAGCAAGTTTAATGGATGGTAAAGGTGCCCCAGAGCAAACAGAAAAGAGATGGCCAATGATATTTCGAGAAGCAATAGTAGATATTACTGGTGGGTGTTAACAGCAGAAAACAGGTAAGTTCTACTGAGAGCCTAACCATGGAAACAAGACACTGGCAGGGTTTGGGAACTGGTGTTGTGGAGGAGAGAGGAGTAATCAAAATGAAGAATAAATTTCAGTGCCTCAAGTTGTTAAACTGAATGTTGAGTTCTGAAAGCTGTGAAGTACGTCGATGGAGAATAAGGTGTTGTTTCTTCAGCTTGTGTTGAGCTTTCCTGGACACTGCAGCAAGCCTAGGATGCAAGTATAAGCATAAGAGCTAGATGGTGTATTGAAATGGTAAGCAAACAGAAGGTTGGGGTCATGCTTGCAGTCGAAGGTGAGGTGTTGTAAACGCCAAATACAGTAGATTAGATTGAAAGAATTACAAGTTAAATGCTGCTTTACCTAGATGTGTTCGGAAACTTGAACAATGACGAAGGAGGAGATAAAAGGACAGTAATACTCTTCTGCCATTTCACGGGAAGGTGCCAGAGAGGGTTAGAAGAACTGTTGGGAGCGACTGAGAAGTGGGTCAGGGTATTGTCAAGGGAACTGTCCTTGCAGAATGTTAATGGGGAGAGGAGAGGAATATGTTTCTGGTGCTGGCATCCAGCCAGAGGTGGTAGAAACAGCTGAGGATGATTCTTTAAAATCAAATGCTAGCGGAATGGAAAGTCAGGATGAGAGGAATTCTACTGCTGTTCTGGGACAGATGAAAAGTGGTAAGGACAGAAGTGCAGGAAGTGGCTTGGATATAGCTGAGGACCCTGTCCACCTTGCTCAGCAGAGGAAGCGCTCAGTCAAGGAAAAATGAGGACATTTCAAATGGTCATCTGTGGAGGCAGAGAAGCTGAGAGAATTGAATGGAGCTCTCACAGAAAGCAAGGTGTGAGGAAGTATAGTCAAAGTAATTTGATTGATTGATTTGTTGTTGTCATAGTAAAACGTGCTTTCTGCTATACAAGCAGATTGTACCATGCAAAGTGCATCAGGGTAGCAGAACAGAGTGCAGAATACAGCGTTACAGCTGCAGAGAAGGTGCAGAAAGAGAGAGATCAGAATTAACATTTAAGAGGTCCATTCAAAAGTCCGATAACCACGGGGAAGAAGCCGTTCATGAATCTATTTGTACATGTATTCAAATTTTTATATCTTCTGCCTGATGGAAGAGGCTCCCAGGGTGGGAGGGGTCTTCAATTAACTGAAAGTTGGTGGGTTTGTAGAGGATATTGGTGAGCAACCTGTTCCCAGAAATTGGAACAGAGAAGTCAAGGATGGGAAGGGAAGGGTCAAAACTGAACCAGTTGAAGATGATAGAACGTCAGAAATTGGAAAATTGGATTTTTTTTTCCCCAGTTCCAAAAACAGGTAGCAGTAACAAGGCAGTAACCAATATCCTGGAGAAAAAGTTGTGGAAAGGGGTCAGAGCAGGACTCAAACAAAGAATGTCCCATACACCCCATAAAGAAATGGCCATAACAGGGATTGTGTGGTTTCTCATAGCCACACCTTTTATTTGGAACAAGTGAAACAATTTAAAGGAGTAAATATTTGAAGTGAGAATGAGCCCAACCAGATCGAGGAAGATGGAAATGAATGGGTTGGTTCAGACCTCCGTTCAGGGAAGGACAGGAAAACACTCCAACCATTATGATGGGAAGTGGAGGTGTTGAGGGATTGCACACCCCTGGTGAAGAGGAGGTGGTCAGAGCTAGGAAACAGGAAACTATGGAGAGTTCATTTGTAGCTTGTAATCTTCCATATGGAAAATGCCATATCCAAAATTGAAACTAAGCCATATGTAATCAATGTGACCTTTCCAAAAAAAGAAGAAAATTCTTTCATGGGATTTAGGTATGGCTGGCATTTGTTTTCCATTCCTAATTACCCTTGTAAGTGTAGTGGTGAACTAGTTTCTTGAACCACTGCCATCCATGTGGTGTAGGTACATCCAAAGTATTGTTAGGAAGTTAGTTCCTGGATTTTTATCTAGCAACAATGAAGAAGTGACACTGTGTTGTTCTAGCTCAGGGTGGTGTGTGATATGGGGGAGAACTGGCAATGATGGTGCCTACAGGTGATAGTGCTTGCATGTACCTGCTGTCCTTATCCGCTGAGACGTTAGAGGTTATATATTTGCAAAGTGCCATCAGAGAAGCCCTGGCTAGATTCTGCAGTGCATCTTATTGATCGTGCACGGTGCTGGCATTATACATTGATGTTGGAAGAAGTAAATGTTTAAAGTGGTGGATAGAGTTTCAACAACATGAACACCTTTGTTCTGGATAATTTAGAGCTCCTTGATTTTTTTGAAGCTGCACTCATCCAGGAAAGTGGAGTCTATTCTGTCACACTCTTGACTTGTGTCATGTACATGGTTGACAGGCTGTGGGGAGTCAGGAGGTGAGTTGCTTACTGCAGAATTCTGAGCCTCTGATCTGTTCTTGCAGTCACTATATTTATATGGCTCATTCAGTTTCTGGTGATTAGCAACATCCTGGGAGTTATCAACAAGTAATTAAGTGATGCTTACGCTATTGAATGTCAAAAGGAGAGGGTTAGATTCTCTCTCGTTGGACATGGTCAATGACTGGTACTTCTATAGTGTGGTTATCAAACCTGAATGTCCATTCTTTGGAAAATTCCTATGAAGATTGCTTCCTGAATCTGGTGCATGGCACCACAGTTGGCTCAATTGTACAGAGGGGCAGACCATCATTGGGAAAGCAATAGTGAGAGGATATTTAATAGATGGGAACATAGAAAGGTTTTTCTGGATTGAAGTCCTACAGGCAGAATTTAGTGAGCTAGGGAAGAAACTTGCAAGCAGAGCTTGAAAGGTTGATTACTTCCAGTATCACATGCTACTGAATGTAGAAGTGGAACATAGCAGATGAATATATTGTTGGACAGATGGTGCACGTGGGAGGACTATGGATACATGGACCATTGCGACCAGTTCTGAGGGAGATGGCATCTCTACAGGCAGAA